TTAGACATGTATGCGATTTTTTTTGACTCAATATCTTCAAAGGAGGACATGTCGGAGGTGCCGCATTAAGCCTTAGGGACATAAATCAAGAATCCTAAACAACTCAATACATTGATAATTTCTGCAAAGAACATGTGTTGTGTTAAGTCAGGGAATAACTGCCTGCTTGGCTGATATCCAACAGTCATCCAAAGCTAAGCATACTGCCGCAGACGACCTCCACAGAGAGCGATGCAAATATTTCTTTAGTAAAAACACCTTGACAGCACTTCCAACTTTCTAAATGGGTCCCAGGTTAGTTTGCTATTGCCAATATCAATAACTGAAAGGAAATAAAGACGGCAATGAGCTGTATCCTAGCAACACAACTCCAAACCGCCGTCTGCAGCGGCATCGCTCTATCTCGTCTACAGTTTTTGAATTTACACCTAATTTATCCCCTCTGTTCCAATCACCTGAAGCCTGCTGTCATGTTTACTGCAGATCATGTGTTGACAGAAAACCTGATCACGTTGCAGTCAGGCTACATTGTGGTTATAGACTTCATTTATTTCCTTTCTCATAGGTTACTGCTTTATTACTTTATGTGACTGATGCACCAGATCGATTGTCCACTAACATAAATATTGAAGGTTTTATAACGTCTGCGAGCCACAATCTGCTGAAGTGTCCTTGAGCAAGACATAACCCCTCCTATCCTATCCTATCATATGGATATGAGACGCTTTAAATCCATTACAAGCGCAGCGAGGTGGCACAAACCCCGCCTCAGTCGTTCAACATCACAGCCTCGTTTCCACTCAAGCTGTCACTGGTTTATAGATTTCCTCTTTAACAGGGACGATGAGCCCCTCTCTTCATTTGGACTATTTTCATTTCATTGCCGCGATGACTTTCCCCCCCATCAAAGAGAAAAATCCAAGCTGTTTGGTCAAGCTTATTATCTCCCTCCTCTCCCCGGTGTCATGACCACGCTTCATCCAATAAGACTGGCTCTGGGAATGGCAGTGGAGGGATTATTTCGGAACCGTCTCTTTTTGGATTTGAGTCCCCATTCATCAAGCCTTGGCTTTGTTTGAACCAGGACTCTCTCTCTCCCTATCTCTTTTTTTTTTTTCGTGTTTTCCTGTCTTTCTTCAGACCAAAAAATGTTTTCCATTCATGTTTTATTCCTGGCTTATGTTTAAAAAAAAAAAAAAAGGTGTTTTTCTTGCTTCTCTGCTCCTCATGCAAATTGTCTGCTCACCGAGATGAGTCAGTCAAATCAATGAAAAACACAAACTGTAGAAAAAAAAAAAAGAGGTGTGTGTTTGGTAATGGCGCACGCAGCATGTATGTGTCACTATCCTCAGCTCTGCTGTGGTGTGACATTTACAGAAAGTGACTGAGCAATGACAAGTTTTGCAGTTGGTTTTTTTTTTGCTTTTTGTTTTTAACCTGAGCCAGGTTGTGTACGTAGAAAAGTGGAAACAAGTTTTGATTCCTCTAATCATCCTCCCTCTGCTCTCTTATCCTATTGGTCCACTATCTTGGTTGATGACCTCAGGCTGCTAGGGATCTCAGGAATTCATCAAGAGAATCGTTGCCATGGCAATAACGGGGCAACAGGCCGAGTGAAGCAACCCTGACTTGTCTTTCGGCAGGCCAGACTCCCTTATCTGTTATGAGTCACTGTCTGTCACTCACTCTCTCTCTCCCTTTTTCACACACACGATTCTAACAGTGCACAGCATACACACTGATATGCAAACACACACACACACACACACACACACACACACAAATGGCTGTTCACCAGATGTGCAGTCTGACTGCAGCAGGCTGAGAGTTGGGAGTAATCTATGGTTAAACGCCTCTTGTCAGAGCTTAAACACAAACTCACACCCCAACCCCTGATGGGATTGAACCTTCACCCGTTTGGTCACATTTTTGAGATGATGTATAGCTCTGAAGCATTTTTTTTGTTTGTTTGTTTTTTTTGCATAAAGCAGTGTGTAAATGAGCAAATAAGCAAAGTTTTCACCACACTGACAGACAGAGAGAATCTGTGCATGGATGTGGTTTCAGGCCCTGAAGTCAGATGAATGTAGTTTTTTTTTTTTGTAAATCAAATTAGGTACTTTGGTCAATTTCTACTGAGATCAGAAAACACTCAGCAGTAGTATTGTAGTTAAATCAGCTCGAACAGTTGCCAACAAACACCAGAAAATAGCAGATAAGTGATTTACTGCTAAATGGTCCACATTCATCTTTTTTGGATAACTGCCTGAATTCATGATTCAGCATCTCGAAAATATAAAAGAGCTACTCTTTAAATGTCAAGTTGCCTTCCGCCCCCGTGTAGTCCTATCAATCATTACCTTTTAAAAAAGGTAGAGCATCGAATTTAGGAACAAAAAGGGAAACATCCAGCACTGTTGTCATCCCTTCTGCCGTCTCATGTCAAATCCTATTTAAAGCTCGTTTCTCTGCAGCCCCCTCTGGGTTCTGGATCGGGGGGTTTGGCTCTCGACAGCAGTACCAAACCCCTAACAGCTGCCACCGCAGACCACGCTGCCATCGAGGCAGCAGCACAGACCCAACACAACTGTCAGCGGCCTGTTGGCTAATCTGATTTTCCCACCATGAGTTTACAGCCATGAAGAGCCAGTGTGGTGATGGACCGAGGTACACACATACAAAGACACACACACACACACACACACACACACACACACACACACACACACACACTAATGCCAGTTTTGCTAATTCTCTGTATCACTACTGATTCAATAATCTAGAAGCTTTCATTATGCGTTTTGGGGGGTTTTGTAACAACGTAATGCAAATGATAAGTGAGGAGGTTCAATGTCTTACTCAAGGATACTTTAAGCAACGTGAAGCAGGTGGAAAACAGAGGATTTGAAACCTTCTGCATTGCTACAAGCTACAACATTTTGCCTCTAGGTTTTAAAATATTCTCAGCAACTTCTCAAGTTTCCTCCCCCAAAACTTGTTATTCGTCTTGAGGAGCCGTTCACCTTGAAACAACGTCTAGTGTGAAGCTGAGGTAAACAGTATCTGTAAAGCCAATACAGAAGCAGATGGCTGATTTAAAAAGAAAAAGCCATTTTGTTTACTGGTTTTGATTAGTGCTCGTCTGCTACATGTTTAGCTTCCGTAACTGCTCCCTACGACTGTAAATATTGCTGCTATGATTTCCTTGCCCTTGACAAGAATGTAACCCAGCTCCCCACTGACCTCAGCCCACATGACACGCACCCACAGAGAAAAGCATGCTCGCCAAATCGTAGACAATTCAGGGCAGGGATTTGGGCACGTAGCCATGTCGACAGCCGTCCACGACGGGGAGAAGATAGGAGGCGTGAGCGCTCATGCCTAAATGTTGAGATGATAGTGATCTGTGGGCAGAGGGAAGGCATCGCCGTGGTAACGGCTGCCCTGTCCTGTAGAGACTTGCGAGGGGCGGTGGTGGGGGTGGAGATTGAGGCAGAGTGAAGATAAATACACCCCTATTGTTGAAATGGCGAATTCTTGTGAGGATTAAGAGGAAATAGATACACACCCGAAATGGAGTGTGAGAGCCAGTGTAAATGTGTGTGTGTGTGTGTGTGTGTGTGTGTGTGTGTGTGTGTGTGTGTGTGTGTGTGTGTGTGTGTGTATGTGTGTGTAGGTGGAGGAAAGTTAGAGGAAGAATGATTTCAAAGTTTTTGACAGAGAGGGGAATGTGTGAAAGAGAGAATAATTGAAAAAAAAAAAAGAATTTGCCTTGTTAATGAGGATTAAGACACACACACACACACACACACACACACACACACACAAGAAAGACAGAAACAAAAAATACAGCAGCAGAAAAAGAAAGAGGCTCCAGGAGAAAAACAGAAAGTCTGGAAGAGAGTGGGCGATTGACGGCTCGGGAGAAAGAGGAATATTTAACCTGGGGGGACCTAGAGTCGGCGCTGACCTCGTCTGAGCGCTGCAGCTCCTCGCCTGATGCGAACCCACCTACTCATCTTAACAACACCCATCCTGTCTCCCATATTCACATACTTTAGTTTCCAAGGAAACAAAGTCTTCTCAGCTGCTGGATAGACAGTGAGACAAAACGGAAGAGTGATGTCTCCCCAACTAGTCTCGATTGTTCTCATCTGACAAACTAATGGCGAGTTTCATCTGTCTCAAATGCCATTGACAGGCACGTGATTTATTCAGAGCTATTTGTAAGCTCGGGACACACACACACACACACACACACACACACACATTCTGCACACTCATCCCTGCAACACCCCTCGTGCGTCAGCAGACGCTGTGGGGAAGGGAATGTCGAGAGTCTCCTTTTCATCACCGCTCTCTTCCTCCCTCATTATCCTCCTTTCTTTCCTGCCTTCTGTCTCACTCGCGCTTGCTTTCCCATCTCGCTGCCCCCCCCCCCCCCGATGTTTCTCTTTCGCTTTCTTTTTCCTCTCGCTGATCATGTCGCCCCTTCACAGCCCACAACCGCACGATATGATACGAAGACAGACCACACACACTTTTTTCTTTGTAACAAACACACAGACAGGTCTAAGGTGCATGTGGATGTGTGAGTACATGAATGAGCTGAAACATCTCCATGGAGTCATTCCTTTTTCATTTGGCGATGGGCACTCCAGCAGGGTTTAAATACGACTTATAATTTTCTACTGATACCCAGGAAAAACATAATATCTGAAGGTGTTTCTGCCTCTGGAAGGAGGTCACCAAATATGACAGGAAGACATCTGAAGGCGGAGAGGGAAGCAGGAACATCAGCCGGTCCGTAAACTTTAGTAAACACAGACGGAAACAAAAAAACAAAAACAAACAGTTCTTCACTCCCAAGTTTCTCCTCTCCACAGGTTTCACACACCTGCGAAATATCCCTTGGTTTTCTTCTGAGCGACCCCTTCCTCTCAGACAGCAGGCGCATCGAATCGGATTGGGTGAGGACAGGGAGGACAGGGGTGGGGGTGACAAAAAAAGAAATAGCTTGGCTTCTCCCCCAAAAAGGGAGGGATGAGGAAATCTATGATTTTGTTTATCCAGTGGTTGTATCCTCTCTGTAAATCCATGGTGGATATGATTCAGTGTTCCCTTTTTTGACCCCAAAATAATGATTTTTAAGAGATTTTAAATCCCTGCAACATCAGTGCTGCCTGGTGGAGATACATGTAGTATCACCCGAATGAGAGATATAGTTCATCAGTACCGTTCCGCCCCCCCAACTCAGTGCTGAGGCCTTAGTCGGGCCCCACTAGTTATTTCACTTATTTGTGCCCAGCTGAACTCCTAGCCCTCACTTAGTCTGGACACTTTGTTGTAAGGGTTCTCCAGGAGGTAGCGGTATCTGTCATAGTGCTCCAACATGTACTTGGGGGCGTACATGTGCTCTTTGGGTTCCACCGGAGGATATTCCTGCAGGGAGCCATCGAACCAACCCCCCGTCCGGATCAGATCACGGATGTAGTTGAGGTCGCGCTTGTCCTCGTAGTCACCCCAACGCGGGAAGTCTCCGTTCTGCGCCGACACCAGCTTGAAGTAGATCCCCTCCGGTGTGAAGCACCAGGAGCAGTGCCACCCAGCGAAGTGGAAGGGGCTGCCCACCGACCACTGCACCAGGATGTGACCTGTGTCGTTCTCGTACTTGCGGAAACCTGGCATGGTGTAGTATTCGCGGCGACGCAGTTTGATACCGTCACCGTCGTACACATCCCGGAGCATCCCCACTGTACAGCCTGATACCACCTCTAGAGAGCCAAACTGCTTCCAGAAAAATCCATACAGTGACTGGATGTGGAGAGAGGAGAGAAGACAACTGAATTATAAAAATTTGAAACATGATTCATTTGTTCCTGCTGTCAAAATCTTAGAGGTAGGTGAGAAAGCTGCTACAAAAAATACACAAGCTGACATGTTGCTGCTACCTTGCGCATGTGGATGGCGAAAGGTTCTGTCCAGCCATCAAATAGCTTGAGAAAAAGGAGGCCCTCGTGTGCTGGGATTTCATCTGCGTCATTGATGACAAAGACATCATCTGACCTGGCGCCCACCACCCTGGACATGCCATTGCGTGTCAAGAAGGTGCGTAAGTAGTCATCAGCGATCCAGCCGTCCTGCCGACCACCATCTGGGAAGTGGTCGAGGAACACGTACAGGATCTTGTGACGTATGTAGTCATACGTGCCATTGAGGAGGAGCCGCAGGAAACTGGGGAGAATTCAGACGTTACACTTGCAATTTAGTGGATTATCTCATAAGAACCTCACGGTGCCATTAGTTCATGCGTTGTTACATTCAGGGAAAATACCCGTGGTTTTGCAGGTTTTAGCCCATTTACTACAAGTACATATACGATATGCCATCATTACCCTTCCAGGTAGCCATTGGATTCCATTCCTTTCCATATAGTTGGAACTTGAATGTATAAAGTCTTGGGACTTGGGAGTTAATATTAAGTTTGCATTATTTTTGTTAACGTTGCATTATTTACACGGTAATACAGTTCATACTTCAAATCAATCTGCACTCAAAGGTACTTAAGGCTTTGACCACTGGTGGCACTGACATCAACTCGCTGCTTTGATGAGTGGAACCAACTTTGATTTGTATCTCATTGGCTTGCATTGATTGACAGAACTTGGCAGTAATGTGCCAAGAAACATGCTGATACACTTGCAAAAGGCAGGAAAGATGGAGACTGCAAGCCGCTGGAAACAGTGCAGGTTTTAAGATATCTAAAATAAATTGTTATTGTGAAGTAAGATATGCATTCAACACATTCGGCACATTTTTTGGGCATCGATAATACACACAAAGCATTTTTGGTGAGAAAAACACTGATCAAATGTGTTTGTTTACCTTTAAACTCCATTGCAATGAGACCATAATGTGACTTTGACAAAAATGAATGCAGACTTGATGTTATTGTTATGGATTACACAACTCAAGCTAGTTTAAAAAGTTAATTGATTTTCCTACTGCACACAACAGAATGAAAACCAAAGGTTGCCTCGAACTGTAAGGAAAAATAAATCCAAAGTGTAGTCATATGCATTTCATATGTATTGGCAGGAAGTTAAAGTACTTCGTAAGGAACAACAGCTGACAAAGATCCTTGTTTGAGAAATGATCCCTTTCGGTACACAAACCCTCACTAAACCGACTGGAAGAACAACTCAATTAACCTGTTGATACGTATAGCTACTGAATTTATCTACTTTCATGCAGTGTCACATCCTATGATTGAACACACCAATCTCTCCTTTCAAGGCTGCATGCAGAGTCAGTCATGTTGCTCTTGTCCTAATCTGGTGTAAAATTGCTATGGAGGCATTTCATGTTGATGCCAAAGGAAATTCATCGTAATTGTTATTCAGCATTCAGAAACCATGGAAGTTGGCGGTAAACAAAGACTGTGAGCTGTAAACAGTAACTACTCAATGCATATGGAAGTGTCGAAATTTGGCAAAAAGTTTGCTTAACTTTTGAATTTTCTACCATAAATATTTATGAAAATAGAGGATAAATAATACATCCCAAGAGTACACTGGAACCTCAAATGAACTCTTATCTGTATTAAAAGATTGGTATGATTTGACCATGGTTTTATAATATTTATACAATTCTAATAAGTTGTCACACCATAGTCTTTAATCCAGTTGTTGCTGAGTATGTCTGCTGTTTTACAATGTGGTTCTGTAAGGCACAAAGAGAGTGATCTGCTGATGGCCACAGAGCAGCTCAGCAGCGGATTACACATCTTGCTTAAATACACCTTGACCTTTCCACACATACACCAGTCCAGAATTGTGGGTCTTACCTCAGAGGCCGTTTCTCTCCATAGGCAGTAAAGTTGGATTCACATACAAGGAACAGATCAACGGCTTGGGCAAGCTCGTGAAAGCGCACGTGCAACAGGTCAAACTCGTGGTTGACGTTGATAGCATTGATCACCCTCCGTGGGGTCTCTCTGGGTGTCAGCCTCTCCTTGGTTGGCAGATTGGAGTGGTACACCATGGTGGGAACCCCACAGTAAGGTCCGTGCCATCCTGGCCGACACACACACTTGACTAGCCGCTTCCCATTGCCCCTGGACCTCGCCTTGGCTTTTGGTGCTACTGAGGGCTGCTGCTGGACTTGCAGAGGTTTCCGTTGCCCAGCAGCCCCGGCCCGAGCACCTTCTCCAGCTCCATTGGCCGCAGCCCCCCCTGATTTCCCAGAGTACTCCTTTGGGGTAGCCACCTCAGTCCCCTGCCTGAAGCAAAGAGCTCCAGCTTTGGTTCGAACAAAGTAAGGTGTTTTGTCATCTTGAAGCTGGTGAGTGCGAGTGTGGTGGTCTCCCATGGATTCTAAGGGGTCCGGCAATTGTTCCTTGGGGAACACCACCCGGTGTTCTTTCCCATTCAATGGGACCTCTGGGAGGTCAGGCCCAGCAGGTTGAGCTTGGTGGCTGGGGTTCCGTGGCTTTAAATGGTCTTCAGCTCTCTCCTGGAAAAAGAGACAGATATTTGAAAGTGTTGAGTCAACTTCCACTTAAAATTCACACCTACTACTGTAGATTTCATTGTAATTAATTAACTGAAGTGCACACCAAGAAACAACTCGATATTTAGGGCTACAAACTGCCAACAAATGGGTCATAATGAAGGAGGGAGGTCGTTTTTTGACTTATAAAGGTTCATATAAAAAGTAATCATGTAACAAAAGTTTATATCAAGCTGTTGTGTCTTGCACTTATTGCAATGAATCTGATACTGACACTGAGCAGTTTGAAAGACAAGTTGATGAAGCAACAGCTCCGTGTCCTAGATCAAAAGACCAAAGCTATGGATACACTTGAGTTTTATTGGTCTGACAACTGAAGGAGCTCCATGTTCGTGGTCCACATGCATGCAATTTATAATTGTTCAAATACAAAAATCAACCAACAGCCAACAAGGGCAGAATTTTAAGTAACTGCATAATAAAAGTGAGGTTACATGAAATGGAAATGTCACATCAAAATTTGATGATGTACCTGTACTTATGGTCCACGAAATTAGAAACTTAGTAAACCCAAGCCAACTACTATGTAAACACTGGCCAAATTCAGGTTGTAGCTCTTTCAGAAAACAATTTAGCCTTTATTGATTACATCATGGCCTGAACCAAAGTCTGTCTTCATAATTGGCCTTTTATACTAAGTGTATATTAATGTACAGCAGACCTTAACTTTGGATATAACACCTTTGACAAACTGGTAAGCTTGTTAGCTTTATCCAAACCGATAAAAGTGCAGCAACTACAAGTGTGCTCCCTTCAATATAGAAGCCATTATTCCTTGAGTAATAGCTTTAGTGTTGACAGGAAACTGTATTGTACGGCCATGTGACCTCTGAGACAAAGAAAACTGCTCTGTAATCACTTGTCAAAGACTCCATGAAAAACTTGGTGAATGTTGGAGGTTATTTGCACAGTGATTAAACAAAAGGTGGCAGAGTAATACAAACACTTAAAATGCAATGATTTTAGGGAAAGATGAAACACAATATGCAATAAATTATGTGAGGTAATATTATATTATATTATATAGAGGGTTATGAAATATCTTCACAAATAGGACACCATTTATTACTTTCTCTTCCTTGTTTACATTTTCTCCTGACATTTCATAAATGGTTAAGAGTGTGAAACTATATTTTTGTTGCTTTAACACACTTTAATTCATCAAAATAAAGTGTGGAGTTTATAGTTTTCCCAATAAACAACTAAGATAAGTGATCTCACAGGGATTGTGAGGCGACGTATTTCAGAAGGATAATTTTCTTTTCACAGGAGCCAAGTGAGCGACAGTCAACAAGCCCAACGTGATCATAAAGTACCTGAGCGGGTCCAGGACACGACACAATATTGTCTTGTTCAGTGAAAAAAAAAACACTTACGTTAACACTTTTAACTAAAACAACAACAACATATGACACAAGAAAATGTTTATTATGATGACTTATTTAACTCAAGGTTTTCAGTGTTGTCGAGGAAAATGATCCTTGATATGCAGCAGCAGACAGAGAATGACGGAAAAGACAGGAACACAAAACCTCAAAAAGGGCCAGTGGTACATTGGAAGGTAAATGGATACTGTAGGAAGGTTTTTACAACTGAAATAGTGTTTACACTGACCCCCCAGGGTATGTAGGCCGAATTCACGTAGGTCAGCTCTTTTTCTTTTTCAAGCATCACTTATTTTGCCTCCACTAAATCACAGAATCTTGACATCAGCACGGAGCAGCTTCAACCCAAGTTTACAAAAATAATTTTACATCTGTTTTTTTACTCTACTATGTTTTATTCAGTAACTGAGATAAGCTGCTGTTTATCCAGTCCTGCTATAGGCCGTTTTGTTTTTTAAAGGCCTTTATATCACCATATACAACTGAGACATGGTCTTGAAGACAAATGCCACTTGATTTAGTTTAAAATGTTCAAGTAGCTCCTTTAGGAATTTCAGATTCTGCGAATTACGCTATGTATAGAATGCATGTGGTAATATTTTGTCAATCTCCATCTCTAAAATCCATTCAGATAATGTGTTGTTAAGACCCAGCTGGTACTGAACATCAATGTAACGTTTGACTCTTAGTGACTAACATCGAACAGATGTTGGAAATGAAAACCGAGTTGACGTCAGAACCCAACAGTGGCTAACTGACACCGCCGACGTTTAGTAGATGTTGGGTTTTTGCTCATGACCACAATGTCGGCATCTTACACGTCTCGATGGGAGCTGGCATGAGGTATTTGGAAGACACTGGATTTTGGTTACTTAAAAACACATCTTAAAACCAACATTAAACACGAGACGTCCTGACATTGAATTTTGGTCACCCGGCATCACAAGCTGGTGGCCAGCTGCATGCCTGCAGGGGAGTGTTTAATATATTTCATTGTATATGCAATGAAAATACTGTTTGCTATATTTGCCATTCAGTACAACCAATCAGTGTGAAAAATGCACGTACATCTTTCTTGTCCAGGTGCTCAGTCCAAATAAAGACTGTCATTGTGATTTATGCTTCCCAAGGAGTCCCAGCACTGATGAATGCTCAATGTAAAATTTCTATTTTACAAATATTGCCATGTTGTGAGTTGAAATTGGCTCTTCATCAGGTGCAGAAGAACCCTCGTTCAGCAGTACTGTGATTCCTCTGCACCTGATCAAAACCAATTTGGACTTTGTGAGTCCTTGGGAAGCAAAAGTCCAAAACAACACCACAACATAAAGCTTTAAAATCACGCCATACAATTTAAACAAACATACTGAGAACTTAAGGTCACAGTAAAAGTTTACCCATCTTACCTCATTCGGGGAGTCTCCCCGCTGATTCTCCACTGGTTTCTCCCAGGGGTGAGGCGCTGCCGGATCCTCCCTCTGCCTCATCTCCAACCCTGCACTGCCAACAATCCCAGGACCTCCAACCACGACCCCCTGAATCCCCATACCCATCCCGCCTCCTCCTCCTCCTCCCACCGCACCCGCCACGCCTCTAGCTTTGCTGTCCGATTGGCGGAGACCGGGTAGGGGAGGGGCTTCTTCGGGGGAGGCGGGGCTGAGCGGGGTGGCGGCCACACCCTTCTCCCTCCAGAAGAAGCCGGTGACCATGATGAAGGACTTGATGTTGGGGTAGGGGGCGGAGAGCTCGCGCAGCAGGGAGACATAGTGGAGGGCCTTGTAGTAGTGGAGGAAGGAGATGACGCACAGGCCCACCGTGCACAGCAAGAACACCCTGTGCCGCCGCATTTTCATCCTGGAAAAAGAGAAGGGAGGGGGCGGGTGGGGGATGGAGAGAAATGACGAAACATGAGTCAGACTAATAAGATCAAAACACTGCCTCAAGTACACAGGTCACCGTTTTTCCACTAAGTCTGTTGTTTTCTGCTTTAATTATAAGAAATATTTATCAAAAGGAAATAAAGGGAGAACTATAAAGACGTTGAATTAATTAGATTTTTCAGAAGCAAAGAACCTCAGGGAAACAGGCTTTTTATTCTTTGTACAAAGATAATGAAATTAGCTTGATTTGATTATAATTATTTGACAGTTCGGAGTAAAATTGTATGGCAATAAAACAAGTCAACATCTTTATATTAATGATGATGAGATATGAAATGACTCTGTGTAACATAAAAGGAGTTGCTCTTAGTGACAAACCAACAGAGATCACTGGACTCTGCAGCTCCCCTCCGCAGCTCCCCTACAAGCATAATTAGCCACATTGACAATCAAGGGCCTGTTCTGTGGCTGTGCGATGGCCTGGCTCTGCCCGGCCAAGTGTATATAATTCATTCTGATGATCATGCTGATTAAATGATTTCATTTCATTTCCATCCTGTAGCTTTTTATTAAGCAAGATACATGAAAGAAGACGAGACGGAGGCATGCATGTATACGGGAAAGAGTGAACTGGAGGAGGAGAAAAATGTACAATGTCATGATTCATGCCGACTTTTAGCTTCTCATTGAGGGAGTTGCTAAATTTGCACCGAGATGAGAAAAATGACATAAGATGTACTCATTACTAAGGGATTATCATAATGTTCAAAAATATAACGTGACACTGACGAATCACAGATAATCCTAATCTGGTCCCATTTGTACACATCTGCCGGATGCCTTTGATCTTCATTTTCTCTCAGTTACAATAAAAAAGGGATTGATATAAAGCATAAAAGTGGACTCAAAGCATCTGAATATGAGCATCTGTCTTGGCTTTTGAGCGGGATTTCCTTTTTAGCTAAGCACAGGCAGTATACGGTCAAGGAACGGGGACACTCGGTGCTTACGCAGCGAGATTTATTCTAGCGCTCTAGTCCATCTTCACAAACATCTGAGCACACTAATAAAAAACAAAACACTGAGGTAAGGGGGAAAATCCTGCCAGTGACCTCCCAGCAATGCTCTGCATGATTCTAAGTTGCACCGCATGAACCTAAGCCTAACCGTAAGAGTCTCGACTACTGGACATGAAACAAACAGTTAAGAGGGAAGAGGAGTGTGAAGAAGGGCAGGAGAGGGAGAGGTCCATCTGAAGATGGGGAGGAGAAAGAGGAAGAGGAAGAGAGAGGTTCAGAGGAGGTGTGATGGAGAGATGTGGCCCAGTGGAAGGAGGAGGAGAGGGATGAATGAGGCATGAGAGCGAATGTGAAAGCAGAGATGAGAGGAGAGGAGGGAGAGTGAGAGTCCCTCTGTGGGGATGAAACATTTTACATTCATGTGCGGCTTCAACGGCATGTTGTGAAACTCGACCACAGGCTCGAAAAAGGTTCGTGTTAACAGCTTAACATAGACGAGGTTGTAAACGGAGTAACCACAGTCGTCTGCACTTGAATCCTAAACCTAGTACGACAAAGTAAGTAAGTCTCAGGTCCCAAGTCAAAACCAATCCCAATCCCTTGGGAAATATTGGGTAATCCCAACTCCTGATAAAAGTCCAAATAAAGTTTAAGTCTAAGTCACGTTGTGAGTGTTTTCTGACTTTGTTATTGAGTCTAAAGTCACCAGATTTGTGAATTGAATGTGACTGAAGTCGAGTTCAGGTTACACGATTCCACACCTCTGCTAATCATCACCACTTTCCTCATTCACAAACACTAACCTCTACACAAAGGAGGCTAAACCTAAGGCTAAATGAGGAACAGCCACATGGTGCGACTGTTTCACTACATGAAAGCATCTATAACAACAGACATTTCACTGACACTACCGCATCTCAGAAGGCTTACACTATGTAAGTTTGTTTCTTTAATAATAGAATATGTTTGGAAATGTTTCATCTGCATCTGTATTCACATCTGCCTCAAAAGGCAAATTAAAGAAACTAAAATAATGGCTGATAAGCAACAAACTTTTGTTGCTCATTAAGTTAATGAACAAAAAAATATATATAAAAACTGCCATCTGCCTGAACTTTCATCAAATTCAACTGACGTGATATTAAGTTTTCGAGATGTCCTGATAAGTGACAGAAGCACAGACAAATACAATCATTAAAAGGTCCCATAATTTACATTTTCCAGTGTTTTATTTGAAGTGTTGATCCATAAGAAGATATATTTGTGGGTTTAATTACCAAAAACCATCTCAGTGTAGTTTTACAGCTCCTCTCTCAGGCGTCTCTCTGGAGCTCTGGTAACAACAGGTCGGTGAGCCAATCAGAAGAGAGGAGGCTCTGAGCCTCTTTCTCCTCACAGAGTTAATATAGAATCTAGATCTGATTCATAATCAAAGAAGACATGGAAATCGCATGTTATACAATATGGGACCTTTAACTCTCTGACAGAGGTAAGGTAGGACTAATCAGTCATATCTGTCAAATCATACCAAATGGAACTGGAATAAAATTGCCATCACTGGTGCTTGGACCTTGACGTGAAATATTTGGGAAGCTTAGGTTGAAATCTATCACTATAACACACCAGAGCTGCCTTCAGAGCCCACTTTCCCCCAGATCTCATTCTGGAAAAAAAAATAATTGAAAAAGTCCTAGAATAAAAAAAAGAAAAAGAAAAAGAAGATAGAAGCAATCCAAAATGATGTGTTAGTGGTGTTTCTGGCCATGTTGTGGGAAGTAACCTGTCCCACACTCTCCTCGTCTTCAGCCAACAGGCGCTAACACTGCACTTAGGGCGGAAATAAGAGACATTTTCCGATAGAGATGTGTTATATTGTGTTACTCCATCTCCTCACTCAGATGCTTTGCTGCTCTTGCAGAATACAAATGAAGCACACACAATACCTCCGTTGACGTGAACACAATCATAAATGGGAGAGAAGAGACGAGAGGATAAGAGAGAAGAGGTCAAAGGAAAAAGGGAGATGAGGTGGAAGCTGGTGGCGTTTGGTGTATTACTGGAGCACTGTGCCACCTCATCTCCCACTGTCACATCCTCTCTGCAATTCTCTCAGTTCCCCACTATCATCTGTCATCTCTAATTCCCCTTCACGTTCACTCCTTCACTCCACTCTTCTCTGTCTCCCACGCAGCTCGCCACAGAAGACAAAGAGGAGGAAGCGAGGGGTGAATAAAAGACTCGTCTCTCTTTCTACCCCGACACAAAGAGAAATGGAAAGAAACTGTTGCAGAGAGGGAAAGCAAAAAAAGGGGGTTTACTTTCTTCTTCCCTAAAAAATAGTTTAATAAATTTCACTCAAGCATGTTCGGAGATCAGATCAGTCAGATTTGGGATGCCACAATCTTTTAATGCCTCCTGAAGGCCACAATTGTGAGGCACAGATTTAGGACAGTGGCCTCAAACTCCTGGAAGGTGAATACTAAAGCCAAATACCCCAAGTGGAAATAAAGTTGACTCAGAACAAAAAGTAGGCTTTGCCAGCAAGGCCATCAAGGTTTTCAGATAGCAAAATAAAAAATTAAGGTAAGAAAAGAAGTTTTAGAAAGTGAGTTAAAGAGTTAAATGAGAGCGATGTCACTCTTGTTTCAGTGTGCTAAATATGAAACTGAAGCCAGGAAACTGTTAGCTTAGATTAGCATAACGACTGGAAGCAGTGGGAAACAGCTCGCTCCATCCAAAAGCACATTGTTGTAATGTAATTATATCGATGAACTTCTTGCAAACAATCTCCGAGTTGTTGGTGAAATATTAAACTGGTTCACGGGGGAACAGTGGGGCAGGAAAACCTTAGAGAACCACTGATTCAGGAGGAATCAGGATACAGCGACAAAGGAGCTTCTAGAGGCCGCTAAATTTTCAATGGCTGCTTTTTTATTAATCAGTGTGACCTTATAAAAACACTCTGGAAACATGATATGGTTTTCAATTTGACACTATGGATCTGCTCTGTGGGATGTGCTGTAATAAATCTGAGCGAGCTTGACAAAGAACAACCCTTGAGACACATAATATTTGAATGAACATTTAGAGTGTGAACACACAAAGAAATCTCCCAAAACCAGAAAGAGGGAGTCCATTTGCAAAAGCAGCAGGTAGTGACAGAGAGAGCAATGAGGTACAGTGTGAGTATATGCAGAGTATATGCAAAACGAAAGAGCACACATTTGATTTTATGGACTGCCTAGCTGAATGAGACGAGTCATGGAAATATATGAGTGAAAAGTACATGGGACATGTGACCCTAAAACAACTATTTGCACTTGCCTATAAATGATAAATGACGTACAGTACAGCCCACACGTGTTTGATTCCAAAATGGAAAATAATTGGATCAAAAGTTCAAAGAAAACCCATGACGACCAAATCTGATCAGATATGTGCAGGTGAAGCATCTTTAGCTGCAGAATCCTTTATGTTTCTATACAACTGAACTGCAGCAGAAAATACGTCTCGTAGGAAACCTTGGCTGGATCATGTTCAGACGCTACAAATAGTTTTTTTGTACATTTATTAACAGCAGCTGAGTCACCAGGAGGTGGTTTGGGCGGATGGTGGATGCAGAAACCACATGACTGTCACTCCAGAGACCAGGGTTTGCATCCAGAGTCTCATATGTGGTTATGTTTAGGCAACAAAAGGACTTTGGTTAAAGTTAGGGAAAAGATTGTGATTTGGTTAAATGTAAATCTGAAGTCAGTGTGAACTCTATCTGTATTAAACCAGAGCAGGATCTTTCTCCAACCTTAACCAAGTGCTGTGAGTGTCTAAACATAACCATTAAACAGTTTAATAATAGTGTTGTCACTAGAAGAGGATGTCGCACTGCAAGGTTGGATGTTTCGGCAGAAAACAAATATGCTGTCCGTGAACATTTTACTAACAAAGCTTAGCAAAAGTTCAGCCAGGAACAGAATCTCCTCTCAAGTCACAAGCATGTTTCCCACCAAGCTACCGGCTCAATCTCGTCCTCATCCAATCACAACCTGACACGGTGGCCTTCAAGCCAATCACCCGCAAGCTGTCAAACTTTAAAAGTGTTCCTCTCACCCCAGCATCTCCAATCAAACCAGTCCGATCAGAAGTTTCCCTCTCACGAAGACGTTCCCGTCCTCGAGCTGCATTCCTCATCATCACCACCAGTGTCTTGGCTCCGGGGGAAGTTTCCTCTATTAGGAAGCACCTCCCTCCTATGGGCCGTTTCCCATGGTGACGTGCTTCCTGCTGGGGTCGAAGCGCCAAAGTCTATTTCTTCTGTTCACAATAAATTCTATTCTGTTTCGCATTTCTCACACTATTGTTCCTGTTATTTGTCTTCTCCTGATTGAAATATGTTCAGTGTAAATGTATTTGCTGCTTCCCCACATAAACATCATATCCTCGTTATGTTAATAAAAAAATGTCATCTGGTCGCAGTTACTTTTCATACAAAATGTATTTGCTGTTGCAGTTTAGTTGTGTACAAACATATTTTTTTAGATATCCTCAGACTTTCCTCCCTGTCCTCACTCACCTAAATGTCCCACCCACTCACTCACTCACACACACACTCACACACGCACTCACTCACTCACACACACACATACACACACACACACACCTGTCCTTAGTACTGAGTGAAATGACCTGGAGGTATCTAAGTGTCAGCCGTGATAAGAGCTGGTTGAATTCTCTAAACGCTGAGGAAAGGAGCTTCAATGCTTCCTATCTTATCTCCTTCAGCGAAGGTTGCACTGGACCTTCCTTTACGAAAGGAAAGGAGATAACGCCGTCCCACAAGTCTTTGCAGCAGCAACATTTAAAGTGACGCACCACTGCAGTTTCACCACTGCACCCCCATGTCAATGTAGAAACAACAGAGCGTCTGTATTATGATTGTGACACGTGCCACGTGATTGGCTGAGCTCCAGATTTCTTTTAAATCCAATTAAGAATCATCTTGATGAACAAATATCATCATGACAAAATACTATATACATAAATGTTGTTTCACTAAACTCTATACGGTTAAATGTCTGACTACAATTCATTCTGGTCTTTTGCTCAGTCTCTTATTTTCATGTAATTATTATTTTAATGGCTCAAATGTACTTATTGATGTTGTTTCGAGATTTCAGTCCTGTTTGTTTTGTTTTTATTTTCAACATCTAATTTGTTGTCACGCCCTATGAGTATTTGATGGTTGAATGTAGCTTGCGTAAACTGAAAAACATCCTTTCTTGCGAAGTGTGACTGTTTTGTTTTGGACGGGGAACCTTACTTGAATTGTTGACCTAACAACACTCAGTTTGCCAATGTGTTTATCTTTCACGTGTTATAAATAAGTTTGCCTAAGTGCAGTCAGACTCTCTCAGCACTGCACTTGTCTTTTCCCAAGTCTTTATGAATTCTCCTTCACATCTTTTCGAGGTCAAAGAAAACAGGCGAAGAAAGTGAGATTCTTTTGATTGTTCGACCGCAGCCGGAGTCAGATCGTCCGCTCATCTTTCTGTTCATTGTTGTTTTTTCTGTTGACCTGCTACCTGCAGTTCATTTCCTTGTCACCTGTACCTACCTGCCTGCCATTTTGAGGCTCTGAAGAACATTTTTTATTTCCTGTTGAAAATGTCTTGAATATAGAAACAGAGAAAAACCACAGGAAGGGTAAAAGGTGGGAAATTTACCACTAAATCTACCAAACTCCAATCCAGTCATCCCACCACCAAGCCAAATACAAAAGCACTTACAAACAGAGAAACTGCAGGCATCGTGTGGGTCTTTTCTCTTCTTCCAAGTGCCCTGGTGCCCAGGTGCCTCTGAGCCAAGACATGATTGTAGAAATTATTCCAGTGCTCATGTCACCAGTTGTTGCCAGTCTACTGTTGCAACCTTCCTCTTGCCTGCGACGCTGCCTGTCAGGTAACGCACATGAGGGAGTTTTTAAAGTCAAATAGCTGAAATTTACACATACTGTAGCTCTCTGGTGGTTGGGTGGTAACACAGGTGGGGAGAAGCATGACTTTCTGGTTTTTCAAGTTTAAGTCAACTTTAGCATGTTTGCACAATTCTGGTTTGGATTCTTACCAGGCCAAGACATCCTGAGTTTTATTGCTTAACATTGGTCAAGATTCAAAAGCGTTTTTCTCATAATGAAAAACAATAGCATCTTTTGTTAGACTTCTTCCGTCTGTAAACACCACGACCACTTCTTTCAAACTCGTGGCTCAGTTTACTACGAAAGTTTTCTGTCGTCTCCGAGCCCAAGCTGAGATAACCCTGAGGACATCACTGTGACATAATCAGGGAACTTTTTAAGCAGACTTAAGAAACTTCTTCTAGAACAACGGAAGACATTATACAGCTGTTTTTACAGGCTGAGCGCTGCTGCCCATGACAAGTAGATTATCTGTTGAAACAAACAACTGCCTAATGAATATGTGATGGAGGGGCAGCATCAGACCACATGGATGTCTAAACAAAAGGTCATTATTGCTCATTTTAATCAGCCACCTTCCAGAACCCAAAGATATTGAGTTTAATTATCACAGAAGACGAGGAAAACCAGTGAATATTCACATTTCAGAAGCTGGAACCAGTGACATTTTCTTTAAAAGATTACTTAAATGATTAATTCATTATTTGTCATTTAATTCTCTGCTAATCTTTTTTTTTTTTGGTGAAGCAAGACAAAGCTAAATAAGTGATAACATAACATGACAGCACACACTACTAGAACCCCGTTAACTGGGTCTAGGTTTGTTGTGGTCCAGTCACTCTTTGTGAGGTGTTTTCTGTAGCTCTTTATGTATGTTATTATTTCAATATAATTTTAAATTGTATGTTGTGCTTAGCATAATTTCAATTTTATTCATTGTAAAAACATTTCACTGTATGTGTGGGTTTTTTTTTTAAGTGCATTATTGTGGTTTTGACATGTACTGCAGTATGATTATGATTATTATTGTAATACATAGAGAGAAGCTCAAAGGCACAAAAATATTACAGTAAACACACACACACACACACACACACACACACACACACACACACACACACACACCAGAGCCACACCTCTCTACCTTTATTCTTCCTATCTTTATTTTAATCTAAATTCACATTCTTTAACTTCACTGTGGGACAAACCTGTCTGGTGAAAACTCTCTCTAAAATCTCTCTTCTAAAATCTGGCCAACCAATGGGGAGGGCAACACCCATTTCTACGGTGATAAGCCGGCCAATCAAAGCAGGGCATGTGTTCAGCACTGGAATGCATTGAATCGAAGGAAGAGGATATTTTCTGAAATCTACTTTTTGTGTGTCAATTCAGGGCAACTTGAGTTCCTGTGTTTATACAACTGAAAGCTTTTATTTATGGGCACAGCGTTATCAGAGGAGGTGGAGAGCAGAGGGATGGCTGCCCTAACACAGTTTGTTTATCTTATCAGACTGCTATTACTTGTAGATTTCACTCTTTCAGAATACAACTCCCCCCATACTCTTTGGCTCTCTCTCTCTGGGAATTTTTTAAAGTTTTTATGAACCCCTGGAGAGTTTAGAAAAGCCCCAGCCGCTGGTTGACAAACGCAGCACAAACATTTGGTTTGGAGACACGGAGGCCGATCCGAGTGATAAACAACTAGAGACAGAGTACGTGCCAGGAGGAGGGGTTCTGCCAGTTAGCTGCTCCTAATTTCATCTGTGTGTGTGTGTGTGTGTGTTGCCACAGCTGACCTGTTGAACCAATTTTACATTGAACTTTGTTGTTCTTATTTGGGGCTGACAGGCGGGGGGGGGAGCTCCTTTCATTAAATATATTGCCTGTACTCACTATATGAGTACAGGCGCACACACACTCAAATTTACAAAAGTATTATATAGGTATATAAACATTTGGAGTCACAGATGTGAGCTGATGTAAATGAGCTCAGCCAGACACCCATGAAGTGAACAGCACTTAGTTACCGAGCGGCGCCGTTTCATGTTACATGAACAATTTAACGCTGTTGAAGGCATTGGCTCCACTCGTGCAGCCTTGTAGTAGCATTTGAATAAATCACAATGCTGACTTGTTCACACGGAGGACACATTAACACGAATCTCCTACGTTTTTGCTGAGTTCTGAACTCATCAACCTGCCTCGGGCTTTTCCTTCATGAACTGACGCTGCTGCACAGCTACCTGAGGGATTTACCTACTGACAGCGGGCACCGCACCTGCACTATATGCATGACGGATGGAATCGCACTCGGACCTTAACTGTGTCAGTACTGTAAGATAAACAGAGGCCAGTTCCAGTTTACAGACAAACTGCACAACCCTAATATGAGCACATGTACAAACATTTATACACACCAACATGGGCAGACACACTTCAGCACACACAATCTCACACCGAGTGGTGTGTGGGTCTAAAAAGTTTGCCACATCAGCTAAACTGTGTTTCATAGGTGGAATGATAAATGATGCACTGCCTCTCCAAAGTGCTTAAAGGCCTTTGTTTTATAAGAACTCCAGTAAAGCTCTGCACAGTGTGTCTTTCTGTGTGTGCATGCATGTATGTGTGTGTGTGTGTGTGTGAGAGAGAGAGAGAGAGAGAGAGAGAGAGAGAGCGAGAGAGAGAGAGAGAGAGCGAGAGAGAGAGAGAGAGAGCGAGAGAGAGAGAGAGAGAGCGAGAGAGAGAGAGAGAGAGCGAGAGAGAGAGAGAGAGAGAGAGAGATGATGCTCTAAATCCCCCTTTCTTCTTCTTTAGCACAAAGAAAACTCACAAACATCTTTCCACATGGGAAAAGGCTTTGGTATCGTCTCATCTGGACTACAAAGTGTCTCTCTGCTTTTCCAGCACCACCCACAGTCTCTGACCAGTCTGTTGATTTCACCTAACAAGCACCCAGAGGGGATATCGAAACAAAACAAAGCACCTTGGGTGCAGCAGTTAGTGAGACCAACTTCCCACCAAACGATCACAAGCTGCAGCCTAATCAAAACGTCCTTTAGTCAAGGCCCTGAACTTTCAGCTGGAGAAGTGTTTCTCTCGCAGACAAACGAAACAAACTATTAATTGCAATGCGACCAGCAAAGCAAGTGAAACTCTAAAAAAAAAAAAAAAAAATCAGTCACAAACTCCTCAAACACTGTCCTTGCACTTCCCCAGATTGTCTTCACTTCGTCACCCTTGTGAACCACAGAGCAAAACACGAACTGGAAAATCCAGTAAGGTAGGGGAAGTGTCAGCATCCTGCGGTCGGGTCAGGGGTGAATTATGGGTTGACATGGACACAAAGGGGGAGTATACATTCACAGCCACAGCCCGTAGTCTCAAAGGCCTTTACATGCTGTTGGTCAGAAATAGAATAGCGCGCTCTGTAATCGAAAACCAACAGTATATAAGGTGTCAGGTTGAGGGGGATGAGGCCACAGTTTAACTCACTTTAATGTCCATCGCTTCATCTCAGGACAAATCAGATGAAGTCCATGCAGAGAGAACATGAGCAGAAGCAAAGTGCTGGACTTTTTGGAAAAATCTAATCTTGTACTTATTCTACAATAATTCCTTTTGTTTGTGATGAAAGGGTTTGACCACTGGTCAGTCACAATAATCCATTTAGGGGTATTATTATTATTTCTCTTAAACACAAAATTCAGTTAATGGACTAATCCATAATCAAAATAATCAGCAGCTGCAGCCACAAGCATTTCATTAAAAATACGGGCTACAATCTAAAATCCCATTAACATGTTGATACAGGCTTTATTCCTTTCTTGTTCCAAAATCTATTTGAAAAGTGCAACTTCTTATCTGATAAACAAGCACTGGCATTAAATTGAAGCTCACTGAATATGAAAAAAAAAAAAAACTTACTTTTTTTATATTAAATCTGGAGCATCAGGCTGCAACTTCCTCCTGAGATGGACGAGTTTAAGAATGAAACCATAAAGTTTTATTGGCCTGATCCTTCCAGTGCCAGAATATAAGAGTAAATCTCTCACCATGCCCCACTAATCACAGTTTCCTCTCTGGTTCCTGCTTTTAATGCCCACTCGGCTAAACCTCTTATAGGTGGTTCCCATCGTTAGCAAACAAACGCTTTTCACTAGACAGATTGTGAGATGGTGAAAACTTCACAGCTCACTCTGACTGGAATCCCTGCACTTCCTTGTTTGCGTTTCTCCCCCTCCTTTCCCCAAACGTGCCAAATGCATGTTACACTACACTACATACACACTTGAGTTATTTAGGAAGCTCACTTGAAGTTTCCAGTAATGCTTTACACTTGCTGGCTCTTCTGCTGTTCCTCCTGCTGCCTTCACTTCACTACAGACAAAGAGTTTCACATCACTTTTTTTCTGTCCTTCATTACACTTGTTTACATTTCCTGTTAGTGAGCTAAATTTGAACTGGCATAGTTTAAAAAAAAGAATGGCGTAACGCTGAGGTGCTCAGGTGCTTTAATATGTACATGCTGAAAAGGTTTGCTTGGCCCCTGCGCCCATCATGCATGTGCATTAGAGTTTGTTTTTGTTTGTTTTTTGGGCCGGCTGCCATGCTTGATTGGTGGCTTGTGCGCCATATTGGACGCACTGTATGGGTTCAAATCTGGACAAGCTGTTTTTGAATAGAAGTGATGTGTTGAGCTGCTGCGTTTGGATGGATGCCGCACATCCTTTCTAGGTCTGAGTGCGTCATGTGACCTGAAGCTAACACTTTAGCCACCACACAAACTAAAGGCTTGTTAGCTCCTTTTTTTGTTGTTGTTGTTGTGATTGATTTAT